AAATCAATATTCGAGAGGTTGGGGATTTTACATCTGATTCCGCGTTGTTTTAGGAGTCCCTCCTATCGCAATCTTTCAAATCAATATTCTAGAGGTTGAGGATTTTACATCCGATTCCGCGTTGCCTTAGGAGCCCCTCCTATCGCAATCTTTCAAATCAAAATTCGAGAGGTTGAGGATTTCACATCCGATTCCGCGTTGCTTTAGGAGTCCCTCCTATTGCAATCTTTCAAATCAATATTCTAGAAGTTGAGGATTTTACATCCGATTCCGCGTTGCTTTAGGAGCCCCTCCTATTGCAATTTTTCAAATCAATATTCTAGAAGTTGAGGATTCTACATCCGATACCGCGTTGCTATAAGAGTCCCTCCTATTGCAATCTTTCAAATCAAATTATACGATATTCTAGAGGTTGAGGATTCTACATCTGATACCGCGTTGCTTTAAGATCTCATCATATTGCAATCTTTCAAATCAATATTCCAGAGGTTGAGGATTTCACATCCGATTCCGCGCTGCTTTAGGAGTCTCTCCTATCGCAATCTTTCAAATCAATATTCCAGAGGTTGAGGATTTCACATCTGATTCTGCGTTGTTTTAGGAGTCCCTCCTATCGCAATCTTTCAAATCAATATTCGAGAGGTTGAGGATTTCACATCTGATTCCGCGTTGCTTTAGGAGTCCCTCCTATCGCAATCTTTCAAATCAATATTCGAGAGGTTGAGGATTTCACATCCGATTCCGCATTGTTTTAGGAGTCCCTCCTATCACAATCTTTCAAATCAATATTCGAGAGGTTGAGGATTTCACATCCGATTCCGCGTTGCTTTAAGAGTCCCTCCTATCGCAATCTTTCAAATCAAAATTCGAGAAGTTGAGGATTTCACATCCGATTTCGCGTTGCTTTAGGAGTCCCTCCTATCGCAATCCTTAAAATCAATATTCCAGAGGTTGAGGATTTTACATCCGATTCCGCGTTGCTTTAGGAGCCCCTCCTATTGCAATCTTTCAAATCAATATTTTAGAGGTTGAGGATTTCACATCCGATTCCGCGTTGCTTTAGGAGTCCCTCCTATCGTAATCTTTTAAATCAATATTCGAGAGGTTGGGGATTTCACATCCGATTCCGCGTTGCTTTAGGAGTCTCTCCTATCGCAATTAAAAAGGTCATACAAATATCAAAGTAAGACATAGTAACATAACAATTCAAAATTAATTTTATACATGTAGTCTCCCTCACACTCTTATTGTTTTCCATCAAAGTAAAAATATATTAAGTTATTAAGGTTAGAATTTTTAAATTCAAAAGTCCAAATCACTTTTATCACTTAAAGACTCTTCCTTAGATCATGAGCATAATGATTTACTTTCAATTGTGTCAATGTTCTCTCATTCCTCCTCATTATAATTCTCACTAATATTACTTTTATTTATCAATAGTAATTAATAAGAATATTTATTAAAATTTAAAATAATGACTATATTGATAATTACAACTTCAATTACATCCTAAGTTGTGTATGGATAATTAAGGAATGTTTTTTATGGTTGTTTTACTTTTATTTATTTTAAATTGCATGCGCCTCGTTAGAATTGAGGCGGGCCTCATATATATAATTTTAAACCATGGGTTAAACAAAAACAAAAAAAAGTTGTGTGTTTGCACGACATGCTTTCTTATATGGTCATACTTTGTTCTCTTATATACTTGATGATGACATTACTAGATTTCGTACATGTGTCAAGTTCTTGAAACTTAGGTTGCATCACATTACTTATATTTGTTCAAATTTATTCTCATCATTAGTATTACTAAAAAAATTTCATAGAAAAATAATATTTTTCAAAAATCATAGTAGCTCAATTCAACCCCAACACCACCCCCTCCCTTTCTTATCTCATGTAAGCCAACAATTCAAGTTTATTGTATAGCTTTAAGGTTAAGGGAATATGTGATTTGTTTCTTCAATTCATATATTCTTGGAAATTAAAGTCCTATATCAACACCTTTTTTATTATTGTTGTTGAATATCTATCTGAAGAAATATGCAATTTGTTCCTACAAAAAAATCAACCATATGCCTCAAAACCCATTGCTCTAGGAAAGCATCACACTTAACCCTTGCCAAGGATAGCATCAATTTATTTAATGTCAATATTTCAATGGTTAGGCTTCTTGAGAACTTCCTAACTTCTTTGAGAAAGGTAATGACTTGGTTATTAACAATGAAAAGTTATTTTATAATGGTTATTGCATATCTTTTGAAAGCATAAATAATACAAAAAATGTGATTGGCATTCTTCCCAAAGATTTACCCATAAATTATTTAGCTGCTTCTTTAGTCAAAGGGAGGAAAAAAATATTTTACTTTTGGTGAACTTATGAATGCCAACCAACTCAAGCTTTCATTGGGCATTTAAATTACTTTCCATGAGTTGTATAATAACTTCAATTAAAAGTGCACTTTTTCTTATATCCATTTACTTAGTTCAAACCTTGTACTCTAATATAATATGCAGCTGAATTGAGAGGCTATTTAATAAGTTTCTCTAGGGACTACTATCAATAAATAAAAAAATTCATTAGGGTTATTGGTCCAAGTATTGTGGCCACTTGTCGAAGGGGCCTTAGGGTTTAGAAAGATTGAAGATATATTTAAAGCTTTCTCATGCAATTATCAAAGCCTTTAAGAAAAGGAGAAAATCGATAGGCTAAATTCATAAGAGAAAAGGTTTACCCAAATCAGCGCATAAAACTCACCCATGTTCCTCAGCTTCTATTATCACATTTAGATTGGCTATGTTAAGCAAAGTAAATCCAAGCTCAATCTAGCTTGGCAAGCCAAGCTAAGCCAGACCAAGTGAATCAAACTCACATAAAACAAGCTAAGATAAGCTAATTTAAGACAAGCTATATCTTATGGAAATTTTTTAAGGTTATATTGCATCAACTCCCTTGGCATGATGTGGTTTGGCTTGGCTTGGCTTCGCTTAGCTGAATTTAGTTTGGCTAGTTTAGGCTTTTCTTAGCCTTGGCATGGCTTAGTTTGGCTTGTCTTAAGTTAGCTTGAATTAGTTTTTCTTAATGTGGCTTTGATTTGCTTAGTTAGTCACGGCTTAGCTTGAGTTCCCCAAGTTTGGCTTTTCTTTATACACTTAGAATATAGAAAGAGTTGTTCGAAATATATTTATATTTTATATTATATCATATCATACTACACTTAAGCACATCCTTATTCTCTAGGCCCAACATCCTAAATTTCATAAATAATTTGTCAAAAACAATCTTCAATAATGATATAGTTTACCCTATACACAATCTGTTAAAGTAAGAGATCAGTAAGCCAACCCCAACATTTCTGTCATTAAGGCCCTCTCACTCATAAATCAATGACAGAGCATAAAGATGAATATGAGTTAAAGCCAAATCAACAAGTTTTTACCCTTTTTGATGAAATTCTGAGAAGTGGTTCTTACATTGCCTCCTTGAAAGGTATTTATAAATAGTTGCATGAAGAGCATTTTGGTAACTTGATAAAGATCTATGGATAGATAAATCATGTTGGCTTCGAGTTATGCACCAAACTAAAATGTTGCTCACTTGAGGTTATGGCATGGGATTATGCCGCAACTGCCATAACTTCCAATAACTTGGAAATGATGAAGTGGAATGAAGATTTTCAGGATTGAGGCAAGGTTGCCTTAATTGCTCCTAATTCCTAATAAGTTTAGAATGTTTTTGAAAGTATTAGATCATTCAGGCAAAAAAATAACTTTGAATGAAAAGTCCTTCCTCGAGAGACTTAGTGCCTCTAACCTCAAGTAAAACGGAGCGGAGTTGAGAGTGGGCAATCAAATAGCATGAAGTAGTGTAGGCAGTAAGCCATGCAATTTTTAGGTCAGTAATTGAGTTAAGGTGATAAAAACTAAAACAAAATCATTACAATTTCCTGTTTGGGACGAGAGAGTGAGAAAGGAAGAGCCTTATTTTGACCTTTTTGGGGGGGCATTCATAGGCATTGAATGAAGGTCATTTTGGTACCTTAACAAAGCAAATAATGAATGGATGAGCGTTGATGGGTCTAAGGTATATACCAAATAAAAATGCCCCTTAATTAGACTACATTTTGATCCTCTAGTTCATAGAATGCTGAAGAATTGAATCACAACCTTAATTATGATGGATAATTGATAGAGGTCCTAACCGCCTAAGATTAATTTTGACGCAATCTATTAGTTGGACAATGTCAATGGTTATGAGATCGGATGGTGATTTGATTTGAATGGCTGAACTTATGTCGGAACTCCAAGTTAAGTGATAGTGAGAGGTCTTTCATCAAGGTATGTCTCGAGGAATAGACACAAATGTAAAGGGGAAATTTACATACATATCACCCAATACTTATGCTTCTACATATCTAATACCTAGACTTTGCTTTATTACATTAATGCCACCGAAATCTTTAATCATATAAAAAATACCACTATTTTAACTTTTCAACAAACATGCATAGGTAAGACGTCATATATATAAAAATTGAAGTATAGGCGTTAGACATACATAAGAATTGAGTGGTATGCATATTAATTTTCCAACTTTAAAAGCAAATCAGTGATGTGGAAATGAGGAACATTGTCTTGTTTGAACCTTGTTGCATGAAGATAATAAAAAATGAACCTTGAGAAATTTTATCAATCAATTGGAATTAACTGAAGCTATTTTAAGGGTCATATCAACAACAATTTGCATAAATGGAATCTCCACTAGCTCCAAAGAACATGAAGGACCAAAAAACAAAAAAAGAAAACTTAGGTCCAATACGAACTACATAGTTAGCCTCCCGATCTGTTTAACACTTTACAGCGTGTATATATCAATCACCAAAACTATGCTTAACCAACCTCAACTACCGTGTTAAACAATTTACAAGTTATAGATAAAGTCACAAATAAGAAAAAATGCACAAAAAGATAACCAAAAGAAAGCAAAGCTTCCTTGCCTGCAAAAATGAAATATGGTTTTCTTCGGTACCCAGCCATTGGAAGAACATCTGTTAGAAGACCCCAAAGAGGCTTAACAATCCATGGAATTGATATGATCCCATGATAAAACTGTGCTGCTGAAGGCTGCACCTTCTGCACATCCTTCCAGTAGTATTCAATGGAAACTTTCCATGTTCCACCTGCAAATCCCTGGCTGATTCCATACACTACAATGACCCCAAAAACAAAACTCCAGTGCGTCTCCTTCGAAAGGACTTTAAACCAACTCAATGGTGAGAGGAGATAAGGGACCTGCTGAGGCTTTGAATCTCCGACACCTACAAATTCATGCCCATAAAATCCATTCTCCTTTAGCACTCCATTAATGAACACAATAGGTTCCTTCTCATCTTCTGTGGTATGCTCAGATGAAGAAGTTTGAGGGTGAAGAAGGGATCCCATTAGAAAGCTGGAACAGAAGCGTTGACTGATTCTGTTGTGGGGATAACAGAGCAGATTTACAACTGGTTTCTTCTTCTGTTACAGAAAAGAAGGATTTTTTACAGAGATGGGTTCACCGGTTTCCATGAACTCGCCCAAAGAGTTGGCAGAAATAAAGAAAAGAGCGCTTTTGAGAGATTTGGTTGACCTTTAAAGAGAGGAGTTCGCAGATCTGTGGGGTGCCTCGCCTGAGAAGAAAGTGAAACAGCGAAACGGATCTGCCGTTTTTTACTTGGAAAATCTGAAAAAATGTGTTTTTTTCACGAAAATGAGAATTTTGCGCGGATGTTAGTCGAGATTATCAAGGAACTGAATGTAAAAATTCCCTGAAATCCCTGAGGAAAGGAAAACAGATTCTAATAAGGTCGAAAAGAGTAAAAATCAACTAAATGAAGGAGGAAAACGAAGAGGTATTGTATCTATATCAGAAGGTTGACCAAAAAAAATTTTAAAGCTGAGAAAACTGATTTCTGATTCTAGCTGGTTGGCAAAATGGAGAGAGAGTGAGGCGCGGCAAAAAAAAAAAACAAAGAAGTCTGAAGACTTATGCTGATCCACTATTGAGGTCGAGCTTTGAACGGTGTCTCAAATCTGAACGAGTGAGGTGGAGCAAAAATACTTATGCTGATCCAACAGTTCTTTGTTGACACGTGGCAAGATAAGATTGGATTTTTTTGGGGTGGGCTGAGACGGCGGTCTATCTCAGTAGTGTGCACAGTCCGGCATCCGGCAGAACATTGATAATTTAAGAAGAATTTACATCATGTGCATCTAACATCTATCTTTTAATATGTATTTATTTAAAATATTATTTGAAATATCTATGACCAGAAACCTTTGGGTAGGTCCAAGGTGTGGAGTTATAACAGATTGGTCGAACCAATTATACGAGTAATCCGAATTGACAAGAGCATTTTACTCTGTATGCTAAAAAATAGAAAGTTAATGTGTCAGAAGGTCTAAATTTGTAAAAAAGAAGTCGGCAGGAGAAAACAACTTGACGTTTTCACGTGGAGAATCTAAAAAGGGGAAAAAATCATTGAATCTATCTTAATTGAAATAATTCACCATGTAATTGTGAATATATATGTTCAGTCTTCTGTTGACTTACAGAGGACGTGGTTACAAAATTGTACAACAATAGTTCATAATAATAGTCGTACCCAGTTGTAATGAATTTAGTTCTCGGTAATTGTATATTGCAAAAGTTGTAGTTGATTGTTATAAAAAAAATAGTTCATGTTGTAGACGGTGGTTGTGTTGACAGCTTGTTGTAAAAGTCATAGTTGAAAGTCATGGTAGTAGTTAGCCAAATAAGTCGTAGATGGTTGTTTAAGGAGCATCAGTTAGCCACAGAGGTCGTAGTATGAAGTTGTAGGAGTTATGAGTCATGTAGGGCGTAGTGGTGAGCTGCGATAACGTCTATAGGCCACAAATGTCAGAGTTGGGAAATGCATGACCTGTGGTTTGCGTAGACAATAATTGGTTACATAAGACATAGTAGAGAATTGTCATAACATTTGTTGGTCGCTAAGGCTGGAGTCGGGAGCTGTGTGAACTATGATAATGTTTGTGGGTTGCAGAGGCTATAGTTGGGAGGTGAATAAGCTGAGATAACATTTGTATACCATAGAGGTCGGATTTAGAAACTGCATGAACAGAGATAAAGTTCGAAGGCCGCAAAGGATTTCCGAGTTGTTTGAGTCGTGATAATGTTCGTATTCCCAAAAAGGTTAGAGTTGAGAGCTGCATGAGTTGTGGTCATGTAGGCCATAGTTGGTCACCCGGATCGTAGCAGGAGTAGTAATAATGTTCATAAGTCGCAAAGGTCAAAATTGGGAGCGTGTGAACTATGATAACGTTCATAGGCCACAAAGTCCAGAGTTGTGAGCTGCATAAATTGTGATAATGTTCGTAGTCTACAGCATCTGGAGCTAAAAGCTGCTTAAGTTGAGATAATGCTCGTAGGTAGTAGATACTAGAGTTGGGAACTACATAAGTTAAGATATCGTTCTTAGCCTATAGAGGTTGGAGTTGGGAGTTGCAAGAGTTGAGTTAACATTTGCAAATCTCATATGTCGGAGTTGAGAGCTGCAATAGATATGATAACGAGAGGCCGAAAAAGAGAATTTCATAAGCTGTGATAACGTCTGTCGGTCGTAGAGGCAAAATTTTAGAGCTACATGGGCTATGATAGCATTCGTAGGCTGTGAAGGCTAGAGTTGGGAGTTGGACTGGTTGTGAACCACATAGGATGTAGCGGTGAGCTATGTTGATGGAGCTTCTAACGTTTGGAGAAAGGCATGTATTCTGAGTTTGTAATTGTGAGCAGTTTGTTTTTGGGATTTGTTGTTGCACTGTGTTTGGGGTGCATTGTTTCATAATCTTTAAGATGCATCATTGCATCATATTCGAGGTACATCGTTGTATCATATGTAAGGCATGTCATTGCACTGTATTCAGGGTGCATCATTGCACCGTATCCAGGTGCATCATATTTGGGATGGGTTGTTAAATCATCTTCAAGGTGTGTCATTCCATGGTGTACCAAACAGGGTCTTGTTCTATAAGTGATTTTGCTGCAAGGAGTAGGTGGCGGACAACGATGATCGTCGGTGGCCAGCCACAGTAGTTGGCAGTTGCAGGAGCGAATGATGTTCATTATACCTTCAGTGTAGAATACAGGGGTTCAACTCCTCCTCCAAGCTTTGGTCGAAGGTCTAGGTTTCTTATCAAGAGAGAGGTAGGGATCTATTTATAGAGTTTGAAAGAGGTCATCCTGCAAATAAAGAATGAATCTTGACCACTCCATCAGACGCCCTAGAGAAGTTCCCTCGATCAGACAAAATTTTATGAACATTTGAGTGTCTTAATCATGTCAGAATTGAGTGTTCTTATGTTTGTTATATTTGACTTGTTGAGACGCTTGATTTGACTATAAGCTTTTTAGATTTGGAATCTGTTTGAACTTCCAACTAAGCACCAAAAGCTTTAAAAATGGAATAATGGCTCAATTTGGGCTTGATTTGACATAGATTGGCTCAATTTTGTCGTCATTGTGTTTGTATTATCGTGTCAATCAGTTTGATTATAAGTTTGTTGAAATCAGAGTTCTAGATTATCATTAATTGATTGAAATTTAAATGTTCAGTGACAAGTTCCCCAAACTGGTTGTTTTGAACCATCTGCATTATGATAGGATGCAGTTCTAGTTCATACCCATATGAATCTCTTCAATATAAGGGTTGGCATAATCCCTAAGTGGTTTCAAGATAGGGGAATTAGAGCCAGCCATCTCAATAGATGTGTTCAGAAGCTAAGTCTGATCTCCTAAGATGTCAAAAGGGGTGATGTCGGCCTTAACTCCCCTAAACATAAAAAGGACAGATTAAAACTAGGCAACAAGCAAGTACACTGACCCACACAATTTAACCAATACACTAACACACAAGTGCAACACACAATATGCTAAAGAAACAACAAAAATAGAGAAGAAATTATCAGCTAAATATTTTTGGATTTTTAGCTTTTTTGATTTTTTTATATCAGCATTTTTAACTTTTCAACACCTGCAAAGAAACACAACAAAAATACAGATGCATCAATAAGAATAAAAAAAAATAAAAGTAAAAAAATAAAGGTGTTAAACTTAGATCATAAGTTTTTGAACTAAAGTTTTGCTAAAAGGAGAAATAATTATTAACGCATTTCTTCAACAACGACGCCAAAAACTTGATACGCCAAAACTTACCAGGACGTAAGTCGATCGTACAACGCAAGTACACGTGTCAAGTAGTAATATAGTTCAAGAGTACCACGCATCGATCCCATAGGGAAAGTTTAATATTAATTTCCACAGAAAAATAATTGGTTTACTAATTTAGTTAACCTAGCTTAGTGTTTATCAAAAAGAGGTTTCAAGTCCTAAGATCCTAGTAAAACAAACTACTTGGCAATTGAAAGAAAAACAGAAAAAAGAGAGTAATTTGTGAATTCTTTCCAGATAGATGAGGCTCGTGTTTCTGTGATTTAACGATCGTGGAAATTGTGATTTTTCCGAAATATTTTCCTACGTGATTGTTGTTAATTGGTGACATAGTACTCCTTATACTTATGTCTAGGTCAAAAAAAGCATAAAATCCATGAGGTTGAGGTTTCCTTAATTTCCATGAGATTCCGCATGACTTTTTTGATCCCCTGAGATGATTGCATAATTCCACTGGAAAATGTCTATCATCTCGGAATTGTGTGTTTAACCCTTCTTTTCCACTACGCACCAGTTAAAGGTCGTAGTTTCACGAAACATTTTAACTTTCTAGTTGGTCAGACTAGGAGTAAATTAATTTTGGAAGTTAACTAACAACATTGGCCATGTGTTAGATCCACTACTACATATATCACAGAGACACGAAGGAAAGCTTAGCCCCTCATTATGGAGAAAACCACAGCAAAAAACACTATATAAAAATCCATTGCAAGCAGCATAAATTTGAAAAACTTACAAGAAATTAAGATTTGATTTTGGTTTTCTCTGATACATAACTCCCTCCAAGAAGCCCTAAGATTTGATTTTATAGCAAGAATCATGTTTTCGGCTATCAAATTTCATTCCTAAAGTGTTTCCCACTCGTCGGCATGGTCACGCCCATTTCCGGAGTCGTCGCACCACTAGACTGCCTGTTGGCATGGTCATGCCCGATTGTGGTGTGGTCACGCCATTCTATTGCACCATATCGTGTGGTCGTTCCATTTCTTGCGTGGTCACGCCGACCATGTTCAATAAGTGGAATGGTCACGCCGCCTATAGGCGTGGTCACGCCACTTTGGGACACATTTCTACTGGATTTTATCATTCCAACTTGTTTGTATTCAATTCCTGCATCTTGCACAACATGAACAAAAAGCATAAATTTGTGATAAATAAATAAATCCAACATGTCCTATACTCCTATATATCTTATATAAATAAAATGATATATTTTGGTCATAATTTTTATTTTGGGCAGGATATCAACACATGAGTAATACTAGAAAGATTATTTCTCAGTAAATATTTATTATTCTTGATACAATGATTATTATTATATATTTTATTGTTTTTTGTATTAATTATAGTTATTGATTAAGATTTTGGGCTATTTGCTCATTACTACTATACTTTTATGTTTTTAGGGGAGGGTTAAGTTTTAATGTAGTGAGAGGTATTTGTATAATCATGAGATAATTATATTTTATTAAACCTATTAGAGCTTTTCTATTATTGTATACAAACAATTTTAAATTTAAATATTCTTAAATATATGTAAAATTCTACTTTATTTTCATTTAATGGATGATTTAGTAGCTCTGTGTTGAGACATTTTGATAATACAATGAACTTTTTCAAAATAAATTCTTAAAATTTTTTTGTCATGCATTTGACTTGATATATATGAGTTATATTGGATTGAGTTATGACATAAAAGGCTATAATATCATAGTAGTTTAGAAAATTTGAAAGTTGATGTGGAATTGAGCTATTGATTTGGCATTAATGACATTCTTTGGAGAATTTAATGTAATTTTGAGTCATGG